AAATCATGCCAGTGTAGACGTAGCCATTATGTCTACACTGCGCTGTTTTGCACAAGAAATATGCAAATGAGGTGAAGCATGGAATATCGCCGCATCTCATTTGCATAATCAATGAGCGGCCGCTTTTTACACAAGAGGCTTTTGCGCAAAAAGGAGCCATCTACACAGCTCCTTTTTCCGCAAAACCCCCTCTTGCGCAAGAGCTGTTCTTCCTCTTTTTTTCAGGAAGAACAGCTCTTGTGCAAGAGGGGGTTTTTGCGCAAAAAGGAGCTGTCTAGTCTCTTGCGCAAAAACGGAGCCTCGTTAATTAAGCAAATGAGGTGCAACAATATTCCACGCTTTGCCTCACTTGCATATTTTTTTGCACAAGAGGGGGCAGTGTAGACATAGCCCAAATGTAGATGACCCTATAATTTCTCATTGGCCACCAGATCCCTTTTAAAATTAGTTAATGGGACCTTTCAGAAGTGAACACTGATTACAGATTATTTACACTAATATTGGTAAGGTTGAGAAGGATTTTGAAAGTGGGCATTAAGGTCACTTGCATCCATGTTGCTAGAGACATATAAAGGAGTCTCAAAGTCAAAGGACCAAATCCTAAACTCTTATACATCAAATAATGAATGTTGCCTCCAAGTAGCACTACCTATTTTTTAAAGTTGCAGAATAATTTCCGTTCTACTGCACTGTTTACATATGCTTCTCCCTTCCAAAACTTTTGCCATTTGAACTGAAATGATGTATACTAGTTTTACGGTGGGTTCTTTTGTACAATAAGAGCAAAATCTCTTTACTCTATTTTGGGGTGAACAGGATATTTTAAAAAGCAACACAAATCTTCCCATTGTCAATAAATTGTAACCATGTGGGAGGAAAAGGGATGTTAAAATATTTTGTAGCACTAATAAGATATATGTACCAAACATCACCTTAGTCTTGTGCTTGTGTCGTTTTATGCTTTCTCCCAGATCTCTCTTATATGTTGGCTACTTAGATTGTATATCCTACAAGATCTCTCCTCGCATGTTTGTAAAGTACCTAGCACACTTCTGACTGCATCAATAAATTACTGATGAGAACTAATTAAGGGGTAGATAGAGGCTGATACCTGAGACCCATAGACCTAATCCTTCTATTATATTTCAACAGAACAAAATACTTATACAGGATGAAAGTTTGCCCTACAAAACATCCTTTATTATAAAAGAGGGAAAATCGATTAAGTAGTTCAATTAAAACCAGGGATCATTAGCCAATATTATCTGAACCCAAAATTATGGTAACTATCTCTTTTTTCCAGGTGTGGGACACAACACTTTCAACTAATAAATGAATGGTACATAAAAGAATGCTTCCGTCTACAAATCTTTGGTTTTAATTGAGTACAACACACAAAAAATAGCAATAACCTGGACAGCAGTTCTCACACATTAGCAACCTGAGGATCCACCTTTTGATTTTTTTGAGACCTCCCCCCCCCACCGCCAAGTCTCCCTGCTCAATCCTTGTCCTGCCCCCTTTCCCAAAGCTGTGCCCCTGCCCTGCCATTTCTCAGAAGCCCCACCTTCTCCTTCTGTTGCTCGTTCACCTTTACTCTCTTTCACCAGGGTGGGGCAGGTGATTGGGGTGCAGGAGGGAGCACGGGGGGCAAGCTCTGGGAGGGAGTTTGTATGTGGGAGGGGGTCAGGCTGTGGACTCTGAGAGAGTTTTTGTTTGGGGTGTAGGCCCTGGGCTGGGACAGTGGGCTGGAGTGCAAGAGGGGAATGGGCTCTGGCCAGGTGGCGCTTACCTTGGGCAGCTTCCAAAAGCAACTGGCATATCCCTCTGTCAGCAGCTTCTAGGTAGAGGGTGGGGGTGGGGCAGGATTACCCCTGCCCACAGGCACTGTCCCTGCAGCTTCCATTGGCCTCACTTCCAAACCAAAGGGAGCAGAGTCAGTGCACAGAGTGGGGGCACTTCACAGAGACTCCTTATCTTTCCGCAGGGCTGCAGAGACATGCCAGCCATGTTTGGGAGCAGTGCAGAGCCACGGCATGTAGGAAGCCAGCCTTAGCCCCGCTGTGCCACCGGACTTTTAGTGTTCGGGATGCGCTAGAAGGGAGAGGGAGGAGTTGAGTTGATCAGTGGGGCCCATGACCCCCCTGGGGTACCTTTGGGGGTCCACAGCCTTCAGTTTAAGAATTGCTGGTCTAGAGAGAACTCCAAAGATAGTTACCCAAGCTCTGAGTGTTGCCAAGTGCAAGTACCATATCTCCAGTAGCCAGCCTTCCTCCTTGCCTCTGAGGAGAGTTTGCTCATAGAATATTCAAACTTCTCCAAAATGTACACTTCTGGCTAATCTTTCCTAGGTAGTTCCAAGCAAAGCATAACTCAAAGTAATTTATAATAAGCTAACAATTTCCCTAGCAACAGCAAAAATAAAAAACAAAACCAACCCTCATAATTCCTACTTACTGGTAAAGAAACTTTCAGCTTAAAACTTGCACACACAGGCACCCAGACCAAGGTCAGCAATCCTTATTAAAACACTGCAGGCTGCAACTGTGCAGCTGTTCTTGTTCCATCTGACTAAACCAAGGCCAAAGTCTTCCCAGCTATGTAATGCACAGAATGACTGTGGTCTAAATCAAGTCCAAGTTATAAGTCCCGTTTTCTAGTAACCAGACCATTAGCCTGATATTATAAATAGAACACTGCTTAACTCTAGGCAGAATACTGTATATGTAATTCAGTAGCTCAGATTCACACTTTTTGAAATAATTGCCAATTATTTTGCCTCTCTATCATACTTCTGTAGCCTGTGAACCTGCAAATCTCTGTCTCTCTATATGTGTATATATACATACACATAAATACACACACACACACACATATATATATAATCCCTACTAGATTATAGAAGTTCTGAAAGGGTTTACAGTGAAATCTTCAGTTGGGTCAGAACACTCATAACAGCCAGACTGGGTGGTAATATGTGAGTCAGTACCTTATGAGATCTAAAAGGGTCCAAAATGTAATGACCTAGCCAAACTGACATCCTGATCAAGATAACAGAAGGCATTGGTACCGGACGGCAAGGTCCCATTTCTCCCACATCAGGGAACGTGTTCAAGAGAACATCAGGTGACATTTTCATGCATATTCAAAAGGATGCCCCAATGTAATCATCCAATCAAATGTGTACCCACAAAAATCACAGAGTGTGGAAACCTGTTTGGGGCTACAAGTGGTCGGCAAATGGTGATGCAAAAGGACCTATAAAACTCTATGGCTACGTCTACAGCGGCGTGTTCTCACGCAAAAACTCGCGATAAGAGATTGCGCCAGTATAGACACAGCCCAAGGGTACATCTACACAACAGAGGAAGATCAAAGCTGCCACTGTTGATCTTCCAGGGTTTGAATTAGCGGCCTAGTGAAGAGGTACTCCAGTCGATGCCAGGAGCCCTGCTTTCATGAGGAGTAAGGCAAGTCAAGGACGAGTGTTCTTCCTTCGACTTCCTGCTGTTTAGACAGTGCTAAAAGCCAAGTTAAGCTATTTTGACTTCAGCTACGCAATTAATGTTGCTGAAGTTGCATATCTTAATTCAACGTTGTCTGATAGTGTAGACATTCCCTAAGGGAGTAGTTGTGAGATAGGAATCTTCTTCTTCATTAAGATATTTCTCTCCCTCACATTCTGCTTGAGGATTGCCTTCCTCAAACTCTTTACTTATGCTTTTCTAAGTTTCTCTGCTATTATACCCTGCTATCGTACATCACCTTTCACCGAGATCCAAATTCCATCAGTGAAGGGGGTTGGTCCCTTCATACCAAGCTTCTCCAGGAGGTTGTTTGTGAGTATGGTACTATACTAAGTTAAATTACAACTGCATACTCAGGTTTCATTTATGCTATCCCCGGGGGTGACTGAATCCATTTGTGCAATCCTTGCTGTGTGTTTTGTATTGTTTGCAATCTTAATACCAATCTTAATAATTGTTTTAAATTTTGGCACTATCTTCAGTATAAGCATGATTTCTGCAGCTTCCCAGATCTGCCTCCAGAAATAGAGCCTCATAGCTCTCAATCTCTGTGACTGGGGTAGGAGGACAAACCTAGAACCTTCTAGTCAGATTAGGCGAGCCATATGCATACCAATACCATATTCTTAACCCCGGGCAACACTCCCCATATTCTGATTTAGTGGAAGTGATTGTATGGTAACTGCAGATATCCCATACAGCGGGAAAGAAACAGATCAGAAAAGGTGACTTAAGGCATTTCTAATTTGGCAGTAGGGATGTGGCAGCCCAGCATAATGTCATAACGGCCAAGTTCTAAAAGGACAATCCCCACCTTCAGCACAATCTCCACCACCACCAGTCCTTCAATTAGAGGCCTGTTCCAATGATCCAAGCAAGTTAAAATATATTATTTCTGGCTTTCACTTGCACTGAGCAAACTGACATAATGGCTTGTTTTCAGGATCTAATCAATATTCTGATAGCACAATTTCTCTAAAGCCTAGTGCCTTTTGGATCACATTCACAATAGACTTCTTAGCCTAGAAAATATTGCTGCATGTCATCGGTAAGTCGCATCTGAAAGAATAAGATTCCTAAAGTGAGTTAATTGCAGATTAGCTCTGGGAGTTGCAATCTGTTGTTGTTCGTTTATATACAATCAGAGTAGCAACTTGTTACCACTGTTAATAGCTATGGCCAAGATTTTCAAAAGTGTCAAGTGAGTGCCTCAGTTTATTATTGTGCTATTTGCAACACTTTAAAGGGATCTGATTTTTCAGAGGACCTGTGCTCATCGCTTTCTGAAAATCAGGCCATTTCATAGTTTCTCAGAGTGGGCACCCAAACTCACTTGGGTCTAAAAATCTTGATTGAAGTTCTGAAGGGTTTGCTTCTATTCCCTCTGAAGTCAATGGAATTTCTGATAGATCAAATTATATATTAGGAAAGGGTGTGTGCTGTCATAATGGAATGTACTGTTTTTCCTCACAGAGTGAAATGGATGAGAACCAGATTCAAATGGCTGGAGATGATGTGGATTTACCAGAAGACCTTCAGAAAATGGTGGCAGAAGATCAAGTAGAAGAAGAAGACAAGGAGTCAATCCTTGGACAGTTACAGAACATTCAAAATATGGATATAGACACTATTAAAGAAAAAGCTCAAGCCACGTTCACTGAAATAAAGCAAGCAGCTGAACAGAAATGTTGTGTCATGTAAAAGAGAAACTAGGGTTTAAGAGGTTTTGTGAACCATATTAATTTAATACTCTATCATTGGAGCTGCTACATGGTACAAGTACAATTGATGGACTACCATATAGTTCCAAAGCAGTATATGTACATATGAGAGAGAGAGAGAGAGAGAGAGAGACTTGTAAATTTAAATCAGTGTAAGTGATGTACCTGCTTAAATAGCACTAATATAGAGCCTGTCAGCATTTCTCAAGCAACGTTTTCCAGGGAAACATTTTCAAAAATAACATTTTTCATGAAAAAAGTCACATTATTTTTTGCAAATATGCTGCCTTTCCCCCAAAAAAATGTATGGTAAACATAAAAAAGCTTATTAGAATGTTGTTAATGTTTAACCAGAAATTGGATCTTTGGTAAATGAAGAATTTATATAACCACTTTATTTTTGTTTTTGTGTTTGAAATTGACCCACTTTTCATTTACTTTTTTTTCCTGAAAATAATAAAATCAATGTTGAAACTAGGGATGAGAATGGTGAACCGGTAAGCATCACCTTTACCCGGTGTTTACCGGTTATGGTTAACCAATGGTTTGAAGGAGCCCCCGTGGCCAGGCATACCAGAGCAGTCCCCACCTATGGCAAAGAAGCCACTCTCTCCCCACACCTATTTAATTGGTTAACCGATTAAACATTATGATTAACCAGTTATAAACAAAACTGATTAACTGAGATTTTACATCCCTAGTTGAAACTTCGGTACATTTTGCAAAACTAGATTTTTCTTTTTTGACAAGATCTACTCTAAACATTGAAGAATCTTGACATTTATAACACCACATCTCAGGACAAATGCTCTATAGATTTAGAACTTGCCAGAGATGCTGCACACTCACGCAGTTTTGAATGAATATAGTGATTTTTGTGATAAGTCAAATATAGGTGGAGCCAAGAATAAATAATTAAAAGTTCTCCAAATTACTTAAATTGTTCCTAAATCCTGAACACCACAACCCACTATTACACTAATGGAAGCCCTCGTGGACTACCATGTGTGCCAAATGGTGTGGGTTTCTGATGCTGACAAATGACCAGCATAAACTAAACTGAGACCACCAAATTCATTTAATTTAATACTTATTCTCTGTGTGAAAGATACCACCACAGTGCAAAATACAGTATTTTAATGATCAGATCCTGGATCTCCAGAAGTGACACACAAGAATTTTTAACTCATGCTGTCTCCTTATATACTCCTGCAATCACCTTTGTTGTGCATCTAATACTGTATACATATGTGATGTGTTAGCAATGAAGCTGATTGAAGTCTGGGAATTGCACATCTTGAATAATAGCTTTATTTTTTTTCTGCTGCTGTTTTTCTCTCTATATATATTTCTCATGCTTTTCTGTAACTCTGAGTTACAGTTATTAGCCACAATAGAATATATTTTATGTCTCATGAAATGTGCTATTTTATAAGCCTCAGAACAAAGAAATAGTGAGACCAGGAAAGAAGCCCCAGTGCAATTGTATGACACTTGAGTATTTCTGACCTGCAGTTTGAAAGATATGTATAAGCGGGCTAAATCCTGACTTCCTTACTAAAGGTAAGATTCTGATCAGCTATACCAGTGTCAATTCTGAAGAATTCCATTGGCTTGTTTCTTATTTACACTACTGTGACAGCAGAATCGGGCCCATAGGTTTTAGTCTTGAATCAAGCAAACCTTTCATCTATGTCAACCAGAGATTTGCCTGAGGAAATGCTAAGAGCCTGAATTTTCCTTTTACATACCCTGGTATAAAATGGGAGTGACCATAGTAAATTTGCTCCCACAAGAATTTTGGGATTTTGTCCTGTAATCAAGTGAACACTAGGCTATTGTACATTATAATTTGATTGAGAGAGCCTTTTTCATCTCAGAAGTTCTCTCACATGCAACAACCAGCTTCTGGCTGAGACAAGCTGGGCACAGCCCCTCCTGGCTTAGTAACAGGGAGGCATAATTTGGGATCATTTGCTAATGGCTGGTTGTGGACCACAAGGTTAGCCCTCTCAGCGACTGGTAGACATAAAGCATTTTTTTTCTGAAAGAGCCTATAATAAGGGACATGAATTAGGGACTTTGAGATTACTCTTGTTGTGAACTAGTACAAAGTACAGTCTTGTGGTTATGGCAATGGACTGGAAATTGAGATCAGATTCGGGGCCTGGTTCTGTCACAGACTTCTGGCCTTAGGCAAACCATATATTCTTTCTGTGCTGGAGTTCTCCAGCAGGATAATAAAACTTTTCTGGAGCTTTAGAGTAAGAGTACACTTGTTGATACTCAATATGGCAGTAACATGGCTGTAAGCATTTGGAAAGATAGACCAGGAGTGAAATTGACAAATATTCTACAATGTGTGTACTTGGATTAATGCTCTTTGAGGAATTGCTCTCTCTCTCCCCTCCCCGCTCCAAGATTAATTTAGGATGAACAAATGCATTAAAATATGGCCATTTTTTCATTGTGAACACACAGATTGATCTCACTTATTTTCCTTGAAATGGCAAAAGACAGCTCTACAGTGGATTTTAGATATGACGTGCATTTAAGTGTTCAACAGCCCTGCCCCCAGTCCTTCCATATTAATTACTTCTTCTCAACATCTTCCACCTTTAATATTGGACTAATGGGTGGGAGGTTTTGAGTTAAAACTGGCCACTGTGGAATTAGAGAGTGAAGGAGCTTTGTTGAGAAGGTGCAAAGGAATTCCTATTTGATTCTCTTCAGAAATAAAGTGGTATTGCTTTGAAATGGGACCTTCAGAGGATGAGTATAGTGTGGAAATAGCTGGGCATTCTCAAGATGCGTTTACACTGCACTCATATTGCATATCTTATTTCAAAATAACTTTTATTTTGTAATTTGGTGCTGTCTACACAGCGCCAAATTTTGAAATACCCACTATTCCGAAATGTCCCTTACTCCTCGTAGAATGAGGTTTACAGGCACATCTGAATAGCAAGTCTGTTACATTTCAAAATAATGGGCTTGCTGTGAAGATGCAGGATAGCTATTTTGGAATACTCCGGTATTCCAAAATAGCGTTGCAGTGTAGACATAGCCTCAGAGTCCAGTGGTGGAAAAAGGGAAACACCTGCCTCTCTATTATCGAACATTTAAAAGGAGTCCGTCGACTTAAGGTCTGGTAAACACATTTATTTTCCTATGTTACTAATTACACTGTGGGTACCAAATGTGAAGGAGCTTTTAAAATCTAGTATTCCTCTCTTTGCTGATGCTCTCTTTAGCTGTTGCATGTCTTGGCTTGGACAATGAATATCAAAGAAGCAAGTTTCACTTTCAGGATTTGGTGCTGCAATGACTGGATTGCAATGTTTTTCTTGATTTAAACACAATGGGTTGGGGTGGGGTTTTTGGGCAGTTAAAAGCATTGAAGAGACATTTATATTGATTCTAAGCATTAATTTTATAAAGTTTTCCTTTCACAAAATGTACATTTTGCTCAATTTAAGAGAGCAGCCATCCCTTTGGAATACGAAGTTATTCCCTCTTTATTCCAACCCACTACTTGAATAGATGTAATAAAAATGTATTTCACTAGTTTTATGAACACAGTGCACAACATTTTGTTGACTCAGAAAACATTCATGTGCATGGTTGCTGACACTTTACTTATTCCTTGTATGTAAGAAAGAAAAACCAACACATTGATGGGGTTGATCTTGCACCATTCAGGTCAATGGGAGTTTTCCATTCATGTAAGTGGAAGTAGGATCAATTCCTACGGATGGGTTGATTAAATGTAATAAATTCTCCATTCACTCCGACCCTCCATCTTGTTAGCAGCATCAAGGCTTTGACTTAGGTGTTACATCAGTGCCTGCATTTAGCCTGCAAGGTTTCCAATATGGTGCTCAAGCAGTACCTTAGACAGGTAGAATAGTGATAGAGATGTAGCCGTGTTAGTCTGGTGTAGCTGAAACAAAATACAGGACTATGTAGCACTTTAAAGACTAACAAGATGGTTTATTAGATGATGAGCTTTCGTGGGCCAGACCCACTTCCTCAGATCAAATAATGGAAGAAAATAGTCACAACCATATATACCAAAGGATACAATTAAAAAAAAAATGAACATATTGTCCTTTTCATATGTGTTCATTTTTTTAAATTGTATCCTTTGGTATATATGGCTGTGACTATTTTCTTCCACTATTTGATCTGAGGAAGTGGGTCTGGCCCACGAAAGCTCATCATCTAATAAACCATCTTGTTAGTCTTTAAAGTGCTACATAGATAGCTGGGGTCTTTGTTAAGTCCCGTGCGAAGAGTGTCGAATTTTAGCATGAATGCCAGTTCAGAGGATTCCCTTTCAAGTGCAGATTTGAATGTCTTCTGAAGTAGGATGCAGGTTAGCAGGTCATTCAGACAGTGTCCTTTCTGGTTGAAATGACAAGCAACTGTTTTTTCTTTGTGATCCTGTCTAATGTCTGTTTTGTGGGCATTGATTCTTTGGCGAAGTGTCTGAGACGTTTGTCCAATGTACATAGCAGACGGACACTTTCGGCACATGATAGTATAGATTATATTTCTGGAGGCGCAGGAATATGTATTCTTGATCTTATAACTCACTTGGTTAGGCCCAATAATGGTGTCAGCAGAGTGAATATGTGGACAAAGCTGGCAGCGGGGTTTGTTGCAAGGGAAAGTACCAGGGTTGGTATTAGTGTGGTATGTCCTGTGGTTGTTGGTAAGAATCATCTTGAGGTTAGGTGGTTGTCTATAGGAGACTATGGGTCTGTCTCCCAGAGCTTCTTGGAGTTTAGTGTCCTGTTCCAGTATAGGCTGTAATCTATTGATAATGTGTTGGACAGGTATAAATTGGGAGCTGTAGGTGATGACAAGTGGTGTTCTATTGTTGGTTTTCTTGGGTCTGTCTTGTAGTAGATGGTTTCTAGGTATTCGTTTGGCTCTTTCAATTTGCTTTTTTATTTCTCCAGGTGGGTAGTTGAGGTTTATAAATGCTTGGTAGAGATCCTGAAGTTTCTGGTCTCTGTCTGTGGGATTAGAGCAGATGCGGTTGTATCGAAGGGCTTGGCTATAGATGATGGATCGTATGGTGTGTGCTGGATGGGAATTTCATCATAGGAAAAAATACACTGGATAAGTTAATCCAAAACTTTTACAAGTTTATCATGTCATCAAGGGCTACTGTACTTCTGTCCCCTATCCACAGTGTAACTCCAGTTGTACAAAAGGATTGAGAGCACTATATGGCTTTAAATGTTCGTTATATATAATATCAAGAGGCATTTTTGTATTCATTTGGGGGACCATATTCAAATAGTATATATTTGTGTATCTTTTATTTCCTACCACAACCATGTCTTGCCATTTCAAACTGGTGAGCTTTTTCTGTGTAATGGGGAAAATCTTTACTAAAAATGTGTTGTTTATTTCTTGGTACTTGCTTTGGGAAATATGCTTATATATTAGTTAAGGTTATTTAGAGATTTCAGCAAAAAATCTAGCAATACTTATGTATGTAACACATCAGTCCTGGCTGCTGAGTAGTTAGAAAACATTGGCATGTCAGGGATGGATTTATGGGAGATGACAGAGATTCACAATGTTATGTCCAGTCTATTTTTGTGAGCATCATGTATACAACTATAGCCCCACTTTCAGACGGTCCCCTTAAAGTAATTGTAGTTCAAGCTGCCAGCTATAGTACTGCTTTTACACCAACTCTCCTTGAGTGGGCACATCTAGACTATGTTTTACTTTTGAAAGAAGCTATGCAAATTTGGTGGGAATTTGCATATCTTCTTCTGATTGCTTTTTTGAAAGAGGTTTTTTTGAACAAGCAAGCAGTCTAGATGTGGTTCTTTCATGTATCTCAATCCCACTCCAAATATAGAAAAAGACCCTTTAAGGTTTCCAGGTGTCATACAGTGAAGTATTAGAAACACAAGAGAAGATTAAAAGATGTCCATTAGAAATACGAGAAAAGACTAAACCCAGAAAGTTCAAAGTCTCTCAAAATACAGATACATCCTTCTGATAGAAAGTTGACCATGTTTAACCCTATACAGATAATAAAGCTGTTGGGAATAAGTGTTGCAGATTTAAATACTTTGGCTTATACCCACTGTGGCTACTGAAGGGGGTGCCATCATGCTAGCTGTGTCACCCTTCATTTAGCATGTTTAAACTGTCACTTGGGCCTCTCAATGTGAAAGTTAAAAATCTAGCAGCCATGTAGAAAGGAATATGTGCAATGTGGTGAACTAGGCCCATGTACCTCCTGCTGGAGGCCTTAATGTCCTGCCACATTCCTTTCGGGTAAGGAGCAGTGGAGTGGTCCTCCAAGTGATCTAGAGAGGCTTCATGAGAGACAGCCAATCAGATCACAGAGTGCACTATGAAAAGGCACTTCAGAGCTAGAGACAGGCAGTTGCTGGAGCTAGAAGAGTGCCACTGGGCTCTGACTGGCAAAGGGAAGACTAGCATAATGGACAGCTCAGTGCTAATAGGGACTGAGGGAGCAAGGAAGAGCTGACTGGCTACTAGAAAAGCCCTCAGCTAAAGGTAAGGTGTTGGTAAAAGCTGGGGCTGTGGAGAAGTGGTCCAGGAGACTGAAAAAAAGAAAATGTCAGTATTTATTTATCTAAACCCATTTTAACATTCCTAGTCTGTGTTCTTTAAAGACCAAATCCTGCTTCCTTAGGGCTTATCTAGCTGTCAAATACAACCCTATCCTGGAACTTAGTAGTTAAAACCAATCTTACCCCATAACCTACTTACGAACAGGAGCCCTGATCCTTGAAGGAGAACCACACAGACTGACTCCTGCCATACAGCAGTCCACACAGACTGATTCCATAGTGAGGCTCACTGAAGGAAGGGGTCCATTTGCATGATTCTTTTTACAGAATAGGGGACATGGGGTGCAGCACAACTCCCAGTGATCCCAGTGGAAATCTTTGGTGGAACTTGCAACAATTTGCAGTATCCAGAGTTGCTTCATCATGCCAAGATCTCCTTGCTGAAAGGGCCCCTTCACAGGTGGGCTTCCCACAGAAAAATGGAGTCAGCTCCTTTCACAGCACTGGCCCCTCCTTTGCAGAACATCAGGAGCAGGACAGTGATAAGGTGGAGATGCTGTACCAAGAGGTGGGGGGAATTAGGTCCTGAGGACAGCCATTGAGTTTCCACTGGTGAGCAAGGTCTTGGGCTTGCTCTGCTCCACGCAGTGCCTGGAAGCAGCAGCATATCTCTCCTCTAGCTCCAATACAGAGAGGCAGCCAGAGGGCTCTGTGTACTGCCCCTCCCACTCCCATTGGCTAGGAACCATGGCCAATCAGAGCTTCAGGGGCAATACATGCAGATAGGACAGTGCAGAGAGGAGACCTGCTGCTGCTTCCAGGAGCTGCTTCAGGAGGAAATCACTGCCCAGGGCCTGCATCCCAACCCCCTCCTGCATCCATGTCCCAGGTTTAATCCTCCATCCCACCCTCCAAACTCCTTGGTCCCAGCCCAGAGCTCCTTCTGGGGATGTGAATGGTTAACTGGTTAGCCTTACTGGTTCCATTTAACTAGTAGAGATTAGAGCAGCTCCTCTTACACCACGGGTAGGGGCTGCTCAGACCAGGCACCCAGAGCAGCCCAGTCTGTAGCTGTGTGTGTGTGGGGGGGGGGGGAATGCTCCAGCCCAGCCTCAGAGGGAAGGGGGGTTCCCAGCCAGTGGGGGCAGTGGAGCGCTCCCCTGCCCTTCCTTTAATGTTGTCGGACCAGGGAGTCCCGGACGAGAGAGGTTGAACCTGTATACCAACTTCATGCAGTATTTATACTTGCACTGCTAAGATGAAATAATACCAAGGAGTAAGTAGTC